GCATGCAAGTACACACACACACACTTTCTTGGAATGTGAATGTACACAACATGTACAAGTAATACCAAGAGAGAAGGTAAAACCATCAACAATTACTGAATGTGTAATTACATTACACACACACTACTAATGTACTATTATTAACCTGAACACTACTACTACTACTATTAACCTGAACACTACTATTACTACTAGTACTATTAACCTGAACACTACTACTACTATTAACCCAACCCAACCATCTACTGTAGTTGTATTTACAATAACCTGCTAACACTAATTTCTTTTAACACGTTCTTTCAATACACTGAAAGATACCGAAGATACATTCCTTCATTTCACTAAAAGATACCGAAGATACCACATTCTTTCAATGCACTGAAAGATACCGAAGATACCACATTCTTTCAATGTGCTGAAAGATGCCTAAGATACCACAGCCTTTCAATGCACTGAAAGATACCGAAGACACCACATTCTTTCAGTGCACTGAAAGATACCGAAGATACCACATTCTTTCAATGCACTGAAAGATACCGAAGATACCACATTCTTTCAGTGCACTGAAAGATACCGAAGATGCAACATTCTTTCAGTGCACTGAAAGATACCGAAGATACCACATTCTTTCAGTGCACTGAAAGATACCGAAGATACCACATTCTTTCAATGTGCTGAAAGATGCCTAAGATACCACAGCCTTTCAATGCACTGAAAGATACCGAAGACACCACATTCTTTCAGTGCACTGAAAGATACCGAAGATACCACATTCTTTCAATGCACTGAAAGATACCGAAGATACCACATTCTTTCAGTGCACTGAAAGATACCGAAGATGCAACATTCTTTCAGTGCACTGAAAGATACCGAAGATACCACATTCTTTCAGTGCACTGAAAGATACCGAAGATACCACATTCTTTCAGTGCACTGAAAGATACTAAAGATACCACATTCTTTCAATGCACTGAAAGATACCGAAGATACCATATTCTTTCAGTGCACTGAAAGATACCGAAGATGCAACATTCTTTCAGTGCACTGAAAGATACCGAAGATACCACATTCTTTCAATGCACTGAAAGATACCGAAGATACCACATTCTTTCAGTGCACTGAAAGATACCGAAGATACCACATTCTTTCAGTGCACTGAAAGATACCGAAGATACCACATTCTTTCAATGCACTGAAAGATACCGAAGATACCATATTCTTTCAGTGCACTGAAAGATACCGAAGATACCACATTCTTTCAATGCACTGAAAGATACCGAAGATACCACATTCTTTCAATGCACTGAAAGATACCGAAGATACCACATTCTTTCAGTGCACTGAAAGATACCGAGATACCACATTCTTTCAATGCACTGAAAGATACCGAAGATACCACATTCTTTCAGTGCACTGAAAGATACCGAAGATACCACATTCATTTTCTTAATGCAGGAAAACCTCTCAGTAACAAATTTTGGAAATAACGAACAAAAAATATTGGCAAGACAAACACTCTAATTTTGTTTTAAACACAGCAGCCGTCTCCCACCAAGATATTTGACAAAATTGTTTAAACATAAATGAATTTGGAAAAGAATTTCAGGGTCATAAGCCATAGCTTAGCAAAACAAATTACTAGTGGAACAACACATCTTTAATTTGAATGATCTTTGGCATGAGGTTTGCCAATTACATTTAGAGTAATTTATCAACATTACCTTAGGGTTAACTACGAACAAGTAATAACATACATTAACCCCTTCAGGGTCCAAGGCCAAAATCTGAAGTGGTGCCCCAGTGTCCAAGAATTTAAAAAAAAAATTGTTATTTTTTCTTATGAAATGGTAGAGAATCTTTTTGTGAAGGTAATAAAACAAAAAGTACGAAATTTGATGGAAAACTGACGAAATTATGCTCTCGCTAATTTTGATGTGTCAGCGATATTTACGAATCGGTGATTTTGCTGACTTTGACTCCCATTTTAGGCCAATTACATTATTCCAGTCGACCAAATTCTTAGCTATTTCACTAGTATTACTTCTATTCTATCGATCAAGCACAAGAAATCGCCAAGTCAACTGTTTCAACTACAAAACAAAGTGATCGGAAATTGGTAATTTGGCCAATTTAACACAAAGTTCAAAATATTCCAATTTCAAAATAGGGTCCAGAATAAACAATGTAGGTATTCCTGGCACTAAACTAACATTTCCTCTGTTCATTAGTTATGTTTTGAGGCTTTACAAATAAATTCCATTTTGATTTTTTATTCACATAATGAATTTTTATTCCACACCAAAAATTAGAAGATTTACTGTTATGCAATATTGTAATAATTTGTATAAATATCATCACCACAATTGTGAATGTATATTAGACCCACCACTGAGTGTATTAGACGTGTGATGGTCGTTTGTTTACTCTTGAACATTGGCAAAAATTTAACATTTCGCTACTTTGAGCTCAGTTTCAAGCATTTCCAGTGCTAAACCAATCAAAATCATCTCTATTCTGTAATATGTCTTCCATTCTATCAAATGAGACCAAGAAATCGCAAATACAACTATAAAAAACATACGAAAAAACACTGCAAAGTCGCTGTTTTAATCGAAAATCATGTGCTGCAGGATTTGTTTTATGTGGTGCACACATACCACATAGATGTATTCTCTCATATCTAGGCCCAAATGTACCACTCACAGTTTATCAGAGTGAGCTGAGCTCATGGCGTAGATCTACGTATTGGACCCTGAACGTAAAGCCGTAGATCTATGGGACGGACCCTGAAAGGGTTAAATATGATTCGACATTTAACCCTTTCAGGGTCCGTCCCGTAGATCTATGGCTTTACGTTCAGGGTCCAAACCGTAGATCTACCAATGAGCTCAGCTCACTCTGATAAACTGTGAGTGGTACATTTGGGCCTAAATGAGAGAATACATCTATGTGGTATGTGTGCACCACATAAAACAGATCCTGCAGCACACTGTGTATAATGAGAGAAAAAAATGAAATCATGATTTTTCGATTAAAACAGCAACTTTGCAGTGTTTTTTTCGTATGTTTTTTTATAGTTGTATTTGCGATTTCTTGTCTCATTTGATAGAATGGAAGACATATTACAGAAATAGAGATGATTTTGATTGGTTTTTAGCATTGGAAATGGCTTGAAACTGAGCTCAAAGTAGCGGAAATGTTAAATTTTTGCCGATATTCAAGAGTAAACAAACGACCTCACACATCTAATACACGTCAGCTGGTGGGTCTAATATACATTCACCAAATATGGTGAATGATATTTATACAATTATTACAGTAATTGCATAACAGTAAATCTTCTATTTTTTGGTGTGAATAAAAATCATTATGTGAATAAAAAATCAAAATGGAATTTATTTGTAAAGCCTCAAAACATAACTAATGAACAGAGGAAATGTTAGTTTAGTGCCAGGAATGCCTACATTGTTCATTCTGGACCCTATTTTGGAAATTGGAATATTTTGACTTTGTGTTAAATTGGCCAAATTAACAATTTCCGATCACTTTATTTTGTAGTTGAAACAGTTGACTTGGCGATTTCTTGTGCTCAATCGATAGAATAGAAGTAATACTAGTGAAATAGCTAAGAATTTGGTTGATTGGAATAATGTAATTGGCCTAAAATGGGAGTCAAAGTCAGCAAAATCGCCGATTCGTAAATATCGCTGACACATCCAAATTCGTGAGAGCATAATTTCGTCAATTTTCCACCAAATTTCGTACTTTTTGTTTTATTACCTTCACAAAAAGATTCTCTACGATTTCATAAGAAAAAATAACAAATTTTTTTTTTTTAAATTCTTGGACACTGGTGCATGACTCCAGATTTGGGCCTTGGACCCTGAAAGGGTTAATATTTACACATACACTAATGAAGCAAACTGGCATTATTCCTAGCCAGTAATGTTATATATAATTAAAGTACAGTATTCTGAGGTTCAATGAAATTAAAATAGTAATATTTAAATAGCAAATAATAAAAATCCTTACTACTGAAGAAAATAATTGTTTCTGAAGATTAATACAGCATTTTAACTTCTCAGTATTGACTAACTACCATATAAATAAAAAAACAAATCCCTTAAATAAAATAAAATATGAAAGAATTTACATTCTTATAATTTCTTCAGAGATTATTATATTGTGTGGAAGCAATTTCAGCAGCATACCGGAGGTCCCCAAGTTACAAACATCCACAGTGGCAAACTGAGTACAGTGGACCCCCGGTTAACGATATTTTTTCACTCCATAAGTATGTTCAGGTGCCAGTACTGACCGAATTTATTCCCATAAGGAATATTGTGAAGTAGATTAGTCCATTTCAGACCCCCAAACATACACGTACAAACGCACTTACATAAATACACTAACATAATTGGTCGCATTCGGAGGTAATCGTTATGCGGGGGTCCACTGTACTTTACAACCAATTACATTTGTACAATGGACAATCTGCAGTACCAATATGAGTGAAACATAACTTTTTGCTGTACTATTGTTTCCTATATAAACAAATCATTTATGCAGAAACAAAGAACACACCTCGTTTTTAAGTTGGGGACTGCCTGTATATCAATCAAAAACAGTTACAATACTGTAAAACAGTACTAAAATATAAAACTGACTAATGAGTGATTCACAGAGTCTTTTAATATTCAGTTCTAAGAGCTAATAGTTACTGCCAACAAATTATCAAGCACTGAAAGAATACACGAGTTTACTGTTATATAAGCCAATTGCTTCAGATTATGGAAAAAATGTTAAGCTAGTGCTCTTTATAATTTATGGCAGATTCTGATGATAGTATTCTAGTTACCTTAAACCCAACCAACTAAACCACACTACTTCCTGACTACAAGACAGTGTATATACACCAAAAGGTGTATTTCATAGTAAATATACACGATTTACTCTAATCCATATTTTTGGGATCAGAATACAGTATTTTTCACTGGTGGTCATGTCAAAAGGCTTTAAACCTTACACATAAATATCTCTCTAAAAAAATTAAATAACTACAGTACTGTACACAATGCTAAAACAATATACTATAATGTTTACACAAAGTAACTAAAAACCTCTATTTACACCAGAGTGACATGTATGCTAATAATACAATTATACTGGTTTAACAGGACACTGTTGATACACTGCACGAGTCAGGAGTGAAATCTTTAAACTGCGAGAACACAGAAATCTGAAAATGCAGTTTTATGAGAGCTGGAAATATCCATTATTTAGTTATCATCTATAACTACTGTACAGTTTATGCAATAATGGCACTCAAAAGCATGAGATTATAATTTGTAAATTTGATAAATGATATGATATGTTCAAAGTGTTCAAAGTAATAGATATTGATAATGGAAAATGAGAAAAAATTATTCATTTAACCCTTAAACTGTCCAAACGTAGATCTACATTCACTCGCGTGGCGCTCCGAATATTTTGAAAAATAAAAAAATTGTTTTTCTCTTTAAAAATGAAGAGCATATTTTTCTACATGTTATAAGATAAAAAAAAAATTAGGGTCAGTATTTACCGAGATATAAGACCATGAAGTTGGCTCTGGATGCTCACCTGACGGCAACATCGTCTCCTGCCTCTTGCAGAATTGTTGCCGATATACCTTTTTTTCTCATTTTTATTTTAATTTACATATTTTTTTTATGTTTTGATAATTACAATTTATAATAGTTCTTGTGATTTCATAGCCAATCTTTGTTCTGACACTAATATTAGGTACTGAAATAGTGCTCAAATAGTCACAATCACATTGACAGGTGAACATTTACACCTGCCTGGATTATTTACTATTGCCTAGAAATATATATGAAGTATTTATAGGTCCCAGCAATGTTTTAGATACCCTGGCGTATAACTTGAAGCATGGTGTTATGAAAGGCATCCCTATGCTGTTGACAGCCCAGTGACATTCGATAAATGTGAACTGCTCCAGCTAACCCTCCTTGTATTTGTTATTACTGTTACACACAAACATGTCTTGTCTGTCTGTCTGTCTATCTGCCTGTCTCTCTATTTGTCTATCTGTCTCTATCTGTCTGTCTCTGCTTATCTGTCTTTCTGTCTGCCTGGAGTATTTTTTTTTTTTTTTTTTTTCAACAAGTCGGTCGTCTCCCACCGAGGCAGGGTGACCCAAAAAAGAAAGAAAATCCCCAAAAAGAAAATACTTTCATCATCATTCAACACTTTCACCACACTCGCACATTATCACTGTTTTTGCAGAGGTGCTCAGAATACAACAGTCTAGAAGCATACACATATAAAGATACACAACATATCCCTCCAAACTGCCAATATCCCAAACCCCTCCTTTAAAGTGCAGGCATTGTACTTCCCATTTCCAGGACTCAAGTCTGACTATATGAAAATAACCGGTTTCCCTGAATCCCTTCACTAAATATTACCCTGCTCACACTCCAACAGATCGTCAGGTCCCAAGTACCATTCGTCTCCATTCACTCCTATCTAACACGCTCACGCACGCTTGCTGGAAGTCCAAGCCCCTTACCCACAAAACCTCCTTTACCCCCTTGAAGAATGGTGTTATTACAACTAAGTGACATTTGATAAATGGGTGCTCGGGGAACTCTAGCTTTATTTGTTTTCACTGATACACACAAACATTTGTCCGTCCATCTATCTATCCGTCTATCTACCTTTGCCTGGAATTTTTGGGTTATCCTAGGTAATTTACACTATGTATAATTGTACTTATGTGTGCATGTGAGAGAGAGACAGAGAGACAGAGATATAGACAGATACAGAAATACAGACAGAGACACAGCAAAAGCCAGCCAGCCAGCCGCCAGCCTGCCAAATATATAAGAACATAAGAAAGAAGGAACACTGCAGCAGGCCTACTGGCCCATGCAAGGCAGGTCCATGTCCTCCCCCCCCCCTCCCAGTTTAGACCAATGACCCACCTAGTCAGGTCACATCCACTGAAGGAAGGAGCATGACATCAAACCTAGTAACACAAGCTAGTCAGGTCCAACTCACACCCACCCACACTCATTCATGTATTTAACTAATCCTTGCTGTATTTGTTATCACTGTTACACACAAACATGTCTGTCTGTCTATCTGTCTGTCTGTCTGTCTATTTGTCTATCTATCTATTTGTCTCTGTCTCTGCTTATCTGTCTTTCTGTCTTCCTGGAGTATATCAAACTCCTTGAAGAATGGTGTTATGGCAATTGTTCACAGCTCAGTGACATTTGATAAATGGGCGCACGGGGAACCCTGGCTTTTTTGTTTTCACTGATACGTACAAACATGTTTCTCTGTCTGTCTATCTATCTGTCTGTCTGTCTATCTTTGCCTGGAATTTTTGGGTTATCCTAGGTAATTTACACTATGTATAATAACTGTATTTATAAATAACAAAAAGGCACAATACCATGACTGGAACGATACATTGGACCATTGACTTCGTCAATGGTCCAAGTCGGACCGAAACGTCGTCGTAAGCTTCTCTCTTTTATGTGCGGGTTATCTGTGTAACTGTATTTATGTGTACATGCGAGACAGAGATATAGACAGAGATATAGATAGACAGAGATATAGACAGAGATATAGATAGACAGAGATATAGATAGACAGAGATATACATAGACAAATAGAGATATAGACAGAGAGACAGCCAGAGGCAGCCAAAGCAAGCCAGTCAGCTGGTCAGCCTGCCAGCTGGCTGGCTGGCCCATGCAAGGCAGGTCCATGTCACCCCCCCTTAGACCAATGACCCACCTAGTCAGGTCACATCCATTGAAGGAAGGAGCACAAGCTAGTCAGGTCCAACTCACGCCCACCCACACTCACTCATGTATTTATCTAACCTATTCTTGCTCTCCTCTTAAAATGGGAGTGTTAATGCAACATGGCATTAGTGAATCCCTGGTGTTTGCCATGTTATTTGCTCTAGCTGGCGCTCAATTGAACTGGTGCTTCCACAAGGTACTGAGTGCTCCCAGATTTTTTTAATACTGCACACACTGAGTGCACAGACCCATTCTTTCATGTCTAGGCGACTCAAGCCTATTGTGCCAAATTTGAAGGAATGAAAAATAAAACGTTGATCTACGTTCGGAGCGCTACACGTGCAAACGTAGATCTATGTTTGGACAGTTTAAGGGTTAATATTAAGGAACAAAGACAGTAGAGTTTTATGTCAATAAGTATATGATCATTGGTCTTGAATTCCTATTAAGACTACATCATTAAATATTCAACATGCTATAAAAATATTTGTACACATCCAGGTATCTCATAGGCCATTACACAGCAAATCTGGGAGAAAATTTAAGGACTTTTGCTGAATAACTGCAAATGATTCAAGATAAGTTGCTTCTCAAGCGAGAACATAATAAAAAGGTGGACAGGAAGATAAAAATAAACAAAATTAGTCAGGAGCAAAATACCAACTGTGTCCACTGGCCTGTGAGGTTTAGAAACTCCCATGCCATGGGTTCAAGTCTCACCTAATCTGTGATTTGATTTACTTATGTCAAGGTTTTTAACTAAAGAATAAACTAACAACATTCTTCCTGAATCCCACACAAAAAAAAAGCAACATGAGCACTTGCTATGCTGGCAAACTTTGTAATGCAATTCAAAATCAGGGTGTCTATGGAAAAACAGGTTTGGAGTTCTAAACAATTGACTAAAGTTGAATTTTCAGAAACACATTAAACATTTTGAATGAGAGACCCACTGTATTACTAAATTAAATCAAGGTTCTAAACCAGTACAGATCACACAGTACTGACATATTTATGATATGAGAAAAGTGTCTGTTGTGAGAAGCAAACACTAACCTTATCTCTGAGCTGGTGAGTAAGATGCAGAGCTGTAGTAAAACAGACAAGCACTGGACTCAGCCATGGAACAGCACAGTCAGCCTGAACACTCTCAAATTTCATGGTGCCGGCAGAGTTAGACAAGTGATAGACAGCCAGGACTAACTTATGAGCTTGCAGATAGAAGCTGACTGCGATGTCTCCAGGTAAAGGCGGTGTTAATGATTTCTGGAAATAAATATAAACTTTAATATATTTATTTAACATAATTTATAGATGGGTTGTAAAAGAAATAAATGCTAGGGTGTTGGGGAGAGGGGTGGGATCAAATAATGGGGAATCAAATACAAAACGGGAGTTGACAAAGTTACTGTTTTGCTGATGAATGTGTGCTTTTGGGAGTCGAAAGAGAAGTTGGAAAGGTTAGTGGACGAGTTTGGGAGGATGTGTAAAGGAAGAAAGTTGAAAACGAACATAGATAAGAGTAAAGTGACGAGGGTATCAAATAAGTTAGGTAAAGAAAAAATGGATATCATACTGGAGAGAGGTAGTATGGAAGAAGTGAATGCTTTCAGATATTTGGGAGTAGACTTGTCAGTGGATGAGTTTATGAAGGGTGAGGTAAACCATAGACTTGATGAAAGAAAAAAGGTATGTGGAGTACTGAGGTATTTGTGGAGACAAAGAACATTATCCATGGAGGCAAAGAAGGGAATGTATGAGAATATAGTGGTAACAACACTCTTACGTGGGTGTGAAGCATGGGATGTAAATGCTGCAGCAAGGAGGCTGGAGGCAGTGGAGATGTCATGTCTAAGGACAACGTGTGGTGTAAATATTATTAGGAGGAGGTATAGAGTTACTAAAAGTATTATTCAGAGGGCTGAGGAGGGGTTGTTGAGGTGGTTTGGTCATTTAGAGAGGATGAAGAAAAACAGGATCACTTAGAGGGGTATAAATCAGTAGTGGAGGGGAGGAGGGGTAGGGGTTGTCCTAGAAAAGGATGGAGGGACGGGGTAAAAGAGGTTTTGTGTGCAAGGGGCTTTGACATACAGCAAGCATGTTTGAGCGTGTTAGATAAAAGTGAATGGAGATGAATAGCTTTTGGGACTTGGCAAGCTGTTGGAGTGTAAGCAGAGTAATATTTTGTGAAAGAATTCAGGAAGACCAGTTAGCTGAACTTGAGTCCTGGAGGTGGAAAATACAATGCCTGCAATTTAACCCTTTGAGGGTTGGTCAAGTACAAGTACGTCATTGCAGCCAGGGTCGGTCATGTACTTGTACACCTAAATTCTAGCGCCTTCAAATCTGGTGGAAGAAAGCTGGCAGGCCTACATATGAAAGAATGGGTCTGTATGGTCAGTGTGTGCAGTATAAAAAAAATCCTGACACACGCTGTGCAAAATGAGAAAAAAAAACTTTGTGTTTTTGGTTTAAAACAGCGACTTTCTAGTGTATTTTCGTATGGTCTCATTTGATAGAATGGAAGATATATTACAGAATTAGAGATGATTTTAATTGGTTTCACAATGACAAGTACCTTGATATTGAGCTCAAAGTATCAAAATTGATCGATTTTTGCCGATGTTCAAGAGTAAACAAATCAAGCCATGCATCCAATACACATCAAATGGTGAGTCTAATACACCTACCATCCGACTTACGACCTGCTCGACTTACGACCACTCGACTTACGACCATGTTTTTTATGCCAAATTTCTGGGAAATAAACAACTATTTGTGTTGTACAAAGTGTTTATTCTGAACCTTACAGTATAAAATACAGTACTAACAGCATAAAAAGTAAAGTAAAATGTGAAATACCAAAATAAAACAATAAAATAAAGTCATTACAAAAATGTTTTGTTGATATTCAGTAGTAAAGTTCGACTTACGGCCATTTCGACTTACGACCGGTTTCTCGGAAACGAACTCGGTCGTAAGTCGGATGGTAGGTGCATTCTTTCACAAGTACGCTTATATCATTTATACCGTTTTTACAATGATGCAGTAGTATACATAACAGAAAACCTTCTATTTTCTGAGAATAAAAATTAAAAATAGAAAGCAAAAGTAATGTAAGAGGGGCCTAGAGACATGACTAATGAACAGATAAAATGTTATTTTAGTGCCATGAATGTCTGTCTTGTTTATTCTGAACCCTATTTCAAAATTAGCATCTTTTGAAATTTGTGTGAAATTGCCCAAATTGCCAATTTCTGACCACTTTATTGGGTAGTTGAAATCGATAAACTGGCGGATTCTTGTATTCAATTGATAGAACAAATGGAGTTCTAGGGAAATAGCTATGATTTTAGTCAACTGCAACATTGGAATTGACCAAAAATAGGGCTCAAAGTGGGCGAAATCATCAACTTTGAGACCACTAACTTTGCGAGAGCATAATTCCGTAAGTTTTCCATCAAATTTCATACTTTTGGTGTCAGTATGACCGGAAAAAGATTCTCTATCATTTCATAAGAAAAAAATAATTTTTTTTTTTTTTTCAAAAATTTTTCGACCCTGAGAATGAGTTTGGGAGAGGGCCTCTCGACCCTCAAAGGGTTAAAGGAGGGGTTTGGGATACTGAATGCTTAGAGTGACAAATGAACTGTTGTATCTGGGCACCTCTGCAAAGACACTGATTATGTGTGAATGATGGTGAAAGTGTATCTTTCTTTTTTGGGGTCACTTGCCTCAGTTGGAGACAGATGACGTGTTGAAAAAAGAATATATGTATAAACTTTTGGGGAAAAAAAATTATATTGCATTTAATGAATAGTTGTCCATCAAGTGAGTTGAAGATTCACTGCATACTACTGACCAAAAATCTACTCATCACATAGCTAAAAGTTATGTGATGAGCTCCATCATGGATGTTACAATTCAATTTCCTGTACATCATTATTGTACACTGTCCGCAAAATGGAATTGTGAAAATGAACAAAAAGAATGGATTTCAAACTGAAAGAAGTATGTAGTAAGTGACTATTTCAATACTTGGAAGAGGATATTAACAGATTGGTTTATGAATGGGAAAATGAATCATAGGATAGACAAAGATTAGAAAGTAAAAAAGGGAAATATACCAGAGTATAGCAGTGTCAACACTATATATGGGTTTGAGGCACGATCTTTAAACATTCTAGTGAGGAAAAGGCTTTGTGTAGTGTAGAAGTTGCATTGGAGCTCAGTATGTGTAGTGAATATTATGCAAAGTACAAAGGGTGTAGAAGTCAGAATACAGTGTTGTGGCACGAAAGTTGTTCAGATGGTTTAGTCATTTAGAAAGAATACAGATAGAGTGACTAAGAGGATGTAAAAATTTGTGGTAGATACAGGTGTGGGGAACATTCCAGGAGTGTATCCCTGTGTTGTGGGTGGGAGAGTGGAAGTGGCCGTTTCCTTGCCTCGCCTATGCTACACAGGAGTGAGGCTTGAAGTGGTAGGGACTTGACAAGCCAGCAGGCAAGTGAGAGTATTTTAAGACTGAAGTATGTGAAAATAATTTTTTTTTTTTCAGAAATGATTTACTGTTTGTCTCTAAATAAGGTAACACTTCTGAAGGAACTCGAGGAAACTGGTAAACTGAACTCGAGCTCTGAAGAAGGGAAGTGTAGGGCCCACACTCTGAATGATGGGTCAATATGACATGGTTCAGCAGACTGTGGGAAATGTGTCTTTGCTCTATTGAAAAGACAGCTAGGGAAAGATTGATGAAGAATGTGTTTCTCATCTTTGGGTCACCCAAACTAGGTGGGAAAAAGCAACTTTTTTGTTTTTAATTTACTACATAAGTATTGGAGTGTGTCTATGCCCCTGGAAGATTTACACTAAAATAGTAATTTGGAACTTACCATGTTCTTACTGGACAAAAGTTCATCAATGGTCTTTTTCCGAGGAATTAGAAGGCTGCTGCGACCCTTCTGAAGTAACTTAATCAGTTGTCCCAACACATTGAGAACTTCACTACTTGTTCTGTAAATATGTCAACATTATCATGTGTCATCCATGAATTGCTCTTACACTGACTTATATATAACATTAAATCTTTTCTTTCTTTCAACACTCTGGCTGTATCCCACTGAGGCAGGGTGGCCCAAAAGGAAAAACGAAAGTTTCTCCTTTTACATTTAGTAATATATACAGGAGAAGGGGTTACTAGACCCTTGCTCTTGGCATTTTAGTCACCTCTTACAACACGCATGGCTTACGGAGGAAGAATTCTGTTCCACTTCCCCATGGAGGTAAGAGGAAATAAACAAGAACAAGAACTAGTAAGAAAATAGAAGAAAACCCAGAGGGGTGTGTATATATATGCTTGTACATGTATGTGTAGTGTGACCTAAGTGTAAGTAGAAGTAGCAAGATGTACCTGAAACCTTGCATGTTTATGAGACAGAAAAATGGACACCAGCAATCCTACCATCATGTAAAACAATTACAGGCTTTCGTTTTACACTCACTTGGCAGGACGGTAGTACCTCCCTGGGTGGTTGCTGTCTACCAACCTACTACCTATATAACATTAAATGTTAATAATAATATCTTTATTTTTACAAGTACATGTACAAGGTATACAGGCTTAGCTGACATCAATGACATTCTACTACATAGAAAGCCACTTGTTATGCAAAGCAGTTCAAGCAAATTAGGTCAGCTTTGTCCCAGGATGCAACTTACACCAGTTGACTATCACCCAGGTACCCGTTTTACCGATGGGGAACATAGACAACCGGTGTAAAGAAACACGCACAATGTTTCTACCCCTGCCGGGAATTGAACCCAGACCCTCATCATGTGAAGTGAGAGTTATAGCCACCCCATGGCCTGGTGGCCACTGACTTACTGTATCAGTAATATTAAATTGCTCTTACATTGACTTTTATTTTTAACAGACAAGCCATCTCCTACCAAGGCAGGTGGGAGACGGCCGAAAAAGAAGAAATGAGTTTTTTCTTCATTTTACACTTAGTAATGTTATTTTTATTATTTTTATTATCACACTGGCCGATTCCCACCAAGGCAGGGTGGCCTGAAAAAGAAAAACTTTCACCATCATTCACTCCATCACTGTCTTGCCAGAAGGGTACTTTACACTACAGTTTTTAAACTGCAACATTAACACCCCTCCTTCAGAGTGCAGGCACTGTACTTCCCATCTCCAGGACTCAAGTCCGGCCTGCCGGTTTCCCTGAACCCCTTCATAAATGTTACTTTGCTCACACTCCAACAGCACGTCAAGTATTAAAAACCATTTGTCTCCATTCACTCCTATCAAACACGCTCATGCATACCTGCTGGAAGTCCAAGCCCCTCGCACACAAAACCTCCTTTACCCCCTCTCTCCAACCTTTCCTAGGCCGACCCCTACCCGCCTTCCTTCCACTACAGACTGATACACTCTTGAAGTCACTCTGTTTCGCTCCATTCTCTCTACATGTCCGAACCACCTCAACAACCCTTCCTCAGCCCTCTGGACAACAGTTTTGGTAATCCCGCACCTCCTCCTAACTTCCAAACTACGAATTCTCTGCATTATATTCACACCACACATTGCCCTCAGACATGACATCTCCACTGCCTCCAGCCTTCTCCTCGCTGCAACATTCATCACCCATGCTTCACACCCATATAAGAGCGTTGGTAAAACTATACTCTCATACATTCCCCTCTTTGCCTCCAAGGACAAAGTTCTTTGTCTCCACAGACTCCTAAGTGCACCACTCACTCTTTTTCCCTCATCAATTCTATGATTCACCTCATCTTTCATAGACCCATCCACTGACACGTCCACTCCCAAATATCTGAATACATTCACCTCCTCCATACTCTCTTCCCTCCAATCTGATATTCAATCTTTCATCACCTAATCTTTTTGTTATCCTCATAACCTTACTCTTTCCTGTATTCACCTTTAATTTTCTTCTTTTGCACACCCTACCAAATTCATCCACCAATCTCTGCAACTTCTCTTCAGAATCTCCCAAGAGCACAGTGTCATCAGCAAAGAGGCAGCTGTGACAACTCCCACTTTGTGTGTGATTCTTTATCTTTTAACTCCACGCCTCTTGTCAAGACCCTCGCATTTACTTCTCTTACAACCTCATCTATAAATATATTAAACAACCACGGTGACATCACACATCCTTGTCTAAGGCCTACTTTTACTGGGAAATAATTTCCCTCTTTCCTACATACTCTAACTTGAGCCTCACTATCCTCGTAAAAACTCTTCACTGCTTTCAGTAACCTACCTCCTACACCATACACTTGCAACATCTGCCACATTGCCCCCCTATCCACCCTGTCATACGCCTTTTCCAAATCCATAAATGCCACAAAGACCTCTTTAGCCTTATCTAAATACTGTTCACTTATATGTTTCACTGTAAACACCTGGTCCACACACCCCCTACCTTTCCTAAAGCCTCCTTGTTCATCTGCTATCCTATTCTCCATCTTACTCTTAATTCTTTCAATAATAACTCTACCATACACTTTACCAGGTATACTCAGCAGACTTATCCCCCTATAATTTTTGCACTCTCTTTTATCCCCTTTGCCTTTATACAAAGGAACTATGCATGCTCTCTGCCAATCCCTAGGTACCTTACCCTCTTCCATACGTTTATTAAATAATTGCACCAACCACTCCAAAACTATATCCCCACCTGCTTTTAACATTTCTATCTTTATCCCATCAATCCCGGCTGCCTTACCCCCTTTCATTTTACCTACTGCCTCACGAACTTCCACCACACTCACAACTGGCTCTTCCTCACTCCTACAAGATGTTATTCCTCCTTGCCCTATACACGAAATCACAGCTTCCCTATCTTCATCAACATTTAACAATTCCTCAAAATATTCCCTCCATCTTCCCAATACCTCTAACTCTCCATTTAATAACTCTCCTCTCCTATTTTTAACTGACAAATCCATTTGTTCTCTAGGCTTTCTTAACTTGTTAATCTCACTCCAAAACTTTTTCTTATTTTCAACAAAATTTGTTGATAACATCTCACCCACTCTCTCATTTGCTCTCTTTTTACATTGCTTCACCACTCTCTTAACCTCTCTCTTTTTCTCCATATACTCTTCCCTCCTTGCATCACTTCTACTTTGTAAAAACTTCTCATATGCTAACTTTTTCTCCTTACTACTCTCTTTACATCATCATTCCACCAATCGCTCCTCTTCCCTCCCGCACCCACTTTCCTGTAACCACAAACTTCTGCTGAACACTCTAACACTACATTTTTAAACCTACCCCATACCTCTTCGACCCCATTGCTATGCTCTCATTAGCCCATCTATCCTCCAATAGCTGTTTATATCTTACCCTAACTGCCTCCTCTTTTAGTTTTATAAACCTTCACCTCTCTCTTCCCTGATGCTTCTATTCTCCTTGTATCCCATCTACCTTTTACTCTCAGTGTAGCTACAACTAGAAAGTGATCTGATATATCTGTGGCCCCTCTATAAACATGTACATCCTGAAGTCTACTCAACAGTCTTTTATCTACCAATACATAATCCAACAAACTACTGTCATTTCGCCCTACATCATATCTTGTATACTTATTTATCCTCTTTTTCTTAAAATATGTATTACCTATAACTAAACCCCTTTCTATACAAAGTTCAATCAAAGGGCTCCCATTATCATTTACACCTGGCACCCCAAACTTACCTACCACACCCTCTCTAAAAGTTTCTCCTACTTTAGCATTCAGGTCCCCTACCACAATTACTCTCTCACTTGGTTCAAAGGCTCCTATACATTCACTTAACATCTCCCAAAATCTCTCTCTCTCCTCTGCATTCCTCTCTTCTCCAGGTGCATACACGCTTATTATGACCCACTTCTCGCATCCAACCTTTACTTTAATCCACATAATTCTTGAATTTACACATTCATATTCTCTTTTCTCCTTCCATAACTGATCATTTAACATTACTGCTATCCCCTTGCTCTTGGCATTTTAGTCACCTCTTACTGCATGCATGGCTTACAGAGGAAGAATTCTTCTTCACTCTCCCATGAGTTACACTGACTTATTAAATATTATGTTGTCGTTTCACTGACTTACTACACTAATAAATACAGCCTCTCCTCACTTAATGACAGAGTTCCACTTCTAAGACCATTTCAGTAAACGAATTTGTCACTAAGCAAGGAGCATACTATAATACTATAATGGTAGTGGGTTTGTGTCATCCATCTTTGATATTGTGCATCAGTCTTCCCGCAGCTGTCGCTTAGTGCAAAACTCTGCTGAACTAGTGATAGTCAGGCAGGACTAGTGATCAAGTAATAAGAGTTAAATACATTTCAAGGCAGTAGAAATTAAAGTATCTCAACACACTTCCCTCTTGGGATGAAAAAGTAACATGAACTACACTAGACCAACTGGCACAAGCACTTAAGAAAAGAAGCAAGAGAAAGTAAGGAAGCAAAAAAAAAAAAAAAAAGTAGTCAGAAAGCAGAAAATGCAAAACTAAGGCAGAAGATATGTCAAAAGGAAAGGAGAGGAGAGCAAGGATCACATGAAGTCATAAGTCTTTTGACAATCAGATCATTTATCAATGTACTGAGAGAGACAGGCATAACTACAGAACCCCGCATAAGGGTTTTCAATTAGGAAAGTTTTTTTGGTATAATTTTAATCAACAAAAGGTTAAAAATTTTGAACAGTTTAAATGACGGATTTTTGATTGACAAAAAGACATTGGGTTCAGCAAGATGGACAACCTGTTGCCCTAAATGTCAGAAAGGGATGGCCTTTGTGACTGACAATGCCAGGATGGACAAAAACACATCGAAAGTTCCTCCCTAATACAGGGTTTTTGGTGAAATAAGAAAAAATAAAACAATAAAATTAATTTCTAGGGGGTATTGATCCTCAAATGACCCCTGATCCCCAAAAACATACTACATTTTATTACACAATCAAAAATGAAAGACTTAAATGTTTGGAGTATAAAAAAGGGGAGGGCAGTCTTCTTTTTCAAAATCCCCTAAACAAAAAAGATAACCAGAAAATTTACAAATATCTATAACTTTAGTATATATTTATTTTTATTTTCCAGGATTTGTTAATAGTTCTTCCTGAGATATTTCCCTTTTCTAACTTAGGGGGCCTAGTCTAAACCAAAACGCGGGAAAATTTAAAAATATATGAACAATACAATTACAATCCAATATCAAAAGTTTGGAAAAGGTCAGAGAGGGAAGGAGACAAGGGGAACTTAAAATTTCGTTGCACTTTTGCCCACAGAGAAACAAAACACTTTATCTAAACTTTGTCTTAAACAATTAATGAGATAACTCAACCTGAAAGTTGAAATAGAACCTTTTGAGGCACCTATGCTGTGTCTGAGGTAGGGGGGGTGATGCACACGAAGAATTTGTGGGAAAATTTGGACAGAATAAATTACCCTCTATTTTGAATGTCAGCATTTGTTACCAAAATCTCTAGGCAATGAAAGACGGATACAATTAAAAGAGAGAGATGGAGGAAAGCAAATGTGTTCTTATTGAAGGTAACTTGTCACAAGGGGCATTGAAAGTTGGGTAATCATAGAAGGGAAAAAAAAGGCGGAAATGCCACTAAAAAATCTTAAAGCAAAAACTTAGTCCAGGGATCAAAATAGGAAATTCACAGAAAACAGTGGTAAAAATTTGTTGTTGGAAAAAGCTTGGACTTTAATGATGCAAAAGAAGGGACGGGGGATAGGATGTCATTTTTGAGGACCGTGGGGTCTGAATAATCAAGAATTTAAAAAATTAAAAATTTAGAAATGGGGGATTGCAAAAAGTTTTATTCATAAACGGAGGATTTGCAAAAGGTGGCTTTATTAAGAGGATGGAGAAAAACATACAAGGGGGAGGATCATCAAAGAAAGGTTAAAGGGGAAAAGGGAAGTTTTGGTGCTGGGGGATGAACACCAAATTTTGGGGAACAATTAGATTGGATGATGGAGGCAATTTGCTTTCGTACTGATTCTGTGGGAATGGACAAGGTAACAACCTAAAGAATTCGGGAAAAACCAGATAGGGGACTTGAACCAGAAGGGAAAGTACAAAGCCTTAGTCAAGAAGGGGTGGGAATTTACATTTCAAAGGTCAATTTTTAACTGTGATGTCATATGCTTCTAGCAAGACAATGATTTTTAGTAGGGTACCCAATGATTTGGGGGCACCCTACCTTTTATGTAAGATGACCAGGTAAAAAAAAAAAAAAAAAATACACTGAGTAATACACGAAAACCTACCGAAGGATACTTTCTCCATGGCCTTTTTCAAAAAAAGAATGGGAACTGGGGGAAGTTTTTCCAGCATCCTGTACTGCTGTAAGCCAAAGGGGCATCAGGGCACACAGTGCGATGAAATTGGGGTTTTGATTTTGGCTTTTCCTTCATGTTAAATCCGCAACAATACACACACAGTAGAAAGCATGTGGGAAAGAACAACAATTGTTCGTAAATAAATTACAGAAAATGTGTTTTTTAAATAAGAGATAAGATAAGATTTCGTTTGGATTTTTAACCCCGGAGGGTTAGCCACCCAGGATAACCCAAGAAAGTCAGTGCGTCATCGAGGACTGTCTAACTTATTTCCATTGGGGTTCTTAATCTTGTCCCCCAGGATGCGACCCACACCAGTCGACTAACACCCAGGTACCTATTTGCTGCTAGGTGAACAGGACAATAGGTGTAAGGAAACGTGTCGAAATGTTTCCACCAGCCGGGAATCGAACCCAGGCCCTCCGTGTGTGAAGCGGGAGCTTTAGCCACCAGGCCACCGGGCCTGTGCAGCTACCCTGATTGACATGACATTTAACCCTTTTGCTGTCTTTTACATATATCTGTCCAGTACAAGCTGCATCCAGGACTTGTCTGTTTTAGTTGTTCCTGGGTGAGTGCTATTAATAATGACCTCAAAATTTAGCAGAAGCATGTGAATCTTAGCATGTTAAGCAGAAACTTGAATTAATAAGAAAGGTAGGGTCTAGAAACTCAGCAGCTCAGGTGCGAGAAGTATGGTGTTGCAAAACAGTACCTGACATATGTAAAAGCAAGAACAAACTTACAGCATGTGCTATATAGTACAGTGTAGAGGCAAACCAAATAAGGTTTCTCAGTTGTTTTTGGCAAGTGTATCAAAAAGGCCCAAGGGTTGAAGCAGTGTGCCGCTGGTGTTAGTATTCATTCTGTTGAGCTTTTCGCTGCTGCTAAGAAGCAAGCAAGTATAGAATTTGGGGCAAGTGATGGTTGGCTTTGGCATTTTCATAAATGCTATGGATTAATTAACACAAAAACTTACGGTGAGGTTGGTATTACACTTACAGTCAAAAGTGAATCATTTACCTTATTGTTAAATGATCTGATAGTGTAAAGGGATCCACCTATCTCAGCTGTATAATACCTTCCCACACACAAGCCTTTCAGTATGAAGAAAGAACAACAGACTTTATGCTCAGCAAAGGCCACCTCTCAATATTATGCTGCTCTAATACTGAAGGCTTTCACTGCTTTAAACTGATGGTCACAGGCAAATCAGCTTTGAAGGCTTGTATACATGGAAGGTGTTCCAGGGTCAATGCCCCTGCATCCCAGTCCATAACCAGGCCTCATGGTGGATCAGGACCTGATCAACCAGGCTGTTATTGCTGGCCACACACAAACCAACATACGAACCACAGCCCGTCTGGTTAAGTACTCACCTTAGGTGCCTGTCCAGGTCCCTCTTGCAGACAGTATGCCGGGAGGCAGTTGAACAGTTGTGTGCCCCTGACATTTATGTCATCTTAGTGCATTCATGGCACCCTTGCTTTTCATTGGGGGAATGTTACACTGCCTAACGACTGTTTTGCTTTCGTAAGGAGTGATTTCCATGTGTATTAAAGAGTTGCCTATCAATTATTACAAGGGTATAAAAGGCTGGTATTTCCTGACTGGTATTTTACACATTTCATCCCTGACATGTGCAAACACCAGCTAGAGAAACAAACCTGAACCCAATGAATTCAAGGTTCTTCTATGACTTGATAACAGACCAGTTCACCCAACGTCTGAAAAATTAATCAGTAGTGATGGTAAAATTAAGGAAATGTTTTTACCCCCTAATACCATCTCTGATCAACCTATGGATCAGGGAGTTATTGCAGCCTGCAAGAGCTTAAACCAGTCTAGATACTAAAATGAGGTACTGGTAATAATTGAGGAGGATGAAGATTTGAAAAAAGATACCAGAGGACAAATTACACTGGAAATCTAGCAAAAAATATAACTTGAACTCTGCCATCTTCAACTTTGCAGTCATGAAAGAAACTGAATAAGACGAACATTAACTAACTGTTGAAATTTTTTTTTAAATAATGTTGATAACTGAGCTAGATTTTGAGAGGTTTGAGGTCATTTATTTTTACTAAACCTCTCAGAGAGTGAGAGAAACAGGCATTACAGAGGAAGATATGATTGAATATTTGGAAGAAAAAGATGGTGATCCTGGTTACTGTACGTTGAGTGATGGAGGCAACTGGTACCTCCAGAGATGACCAGTATAGTGATGACTATGAAGAGAGAAGATTGTGAGGGGCTACCAAAACTGCCAACCGTATGAAATGTGACTGATATTCTAATCACATACACTGACCACTAAGACAAGAGAAAAGTGCAGATCTATTATCCCAACTTTCACACTCTTATGGAATTTGCTTTATACAGCCTTGATGGGTAGAGTGTACTTACTGCCTGAGTGATTGTGTCTCCTGTCACTGTCACAACACACTTCACTTGGTCCTGTGTACTGTGTGCAGCAGTGGACATTATGAATTTCTCTTGTTTGACTGCTGTATCACTCCCACACAGAGGTACAGGGAAGTGTGTGCAGCACTCCTGCAAAATTGATCAATGTTACACAGTACAGAAATTTATTAATGATTTTGAAGATCATCACTGGAAAGGTCTGGATTCAGACCAAACCCTCTGACCATAAAGGAAACACAGTATGTATTACAGGAATAAGAACTATTGAGAAGCACAGAGGAAAGTAAAGTTGGGTATATTACATTAAATGTAAGTAAAAGTTTCATCAGAGTTACCCTACATTTTACATGTTAAAGGGGAGAGAGAGGAGAGACTAACAATCCTGCAAAAGATTTAAAAAACTTCCATTTCACATTCATATGATAGTACAGTAACATCTCTCTCTCTCTGGACAGTTACTATCTATAATTCAGCCACACAAATTCTATGTGAATTTCTCGCAAATGGTTTCAGCAAATTTCTCAATCAATATTATTTGTTAGGTGAGATTATGTTAAGCTGCGTCAGGCTAATTAGGCTAGACTGTCATCTATCAATAAAAATAAAATAATTACAGCATGCGACAACAGAAAATTAAATAAAAGATAGATGTTAAAAGGTGTTGTTGTACAAACAGAAAATGGAGACCCACCATGCCTAATAAAAAAAAGTCAGTTAACCATTCTTAAACCCTTTTACTGTCTCCCATGTAGATCTACATCATGGACCCCTAACACTGTTAATGTATACCTCTGATATACCTTTGAAGAATTTCAAGAGTATATCTACTCTCTGAGCCCGGCCATGGGCCAGGCTCGTCTGGTGCTCGCCTGGTCAACCGGGCTGTTGCTGCTGGAGGCCCACTGCCCCACATATCCATCACAGACTGGTTGATCTGGCACCTGGTGAAGATACTTGTCTAGTTTCCTCTTGAAGGCTTCAACACTTGTTTCAGCAGTGTTTCTGATATCTTCTGGTAAGATGTTGAAAAGTCTGGGACCCCAGATGTTGATACAGTGTTCCCTTATTGTCCCCACTGCACCCCTGCTCCTCACTGGAATTATTTTACACTTCCTCCCATATCTCTCACTCCAGTATGTTGTTATGGCAGTGTGCAGATTTGGGACCAAGCCCTTGAGTACCTTCCAGGTACAGTGGTCCCTCAATTATCGTCCTTAATCCGTTCCTGGAAGTGGGACTATTGTCGAAATAGACGATTTTCGAATCAATTTTCCCCATAAGAAATAATGTAAATCCAATTAATTCGTTCCAGACACCCAGAAGTATCAACAACAATTTTTTTTTTTACCTAAAAGATAGATTTACATGCACAAAAGAATGAACATTCAACATGACAGTTACCTTTATTGAAGGCTGTTGTTGATGAATGGAAGACAGGGAGGAGGAGAGAGGGAAGAGAGGTTATTGTTTGGAAGGGGAATCCCCCTCCATAAGGACTCTAGGTCACTTCATGGGTCACTTCCCTAGCATAAATATAGATTTACATGCAGAAAAAAAATGCCAAATAAATGTAAAGCAATAATAAAATGTATAAATGAACATTGGTAATAGGGATAGTTGATGAGTGGAACGGTCTGCCTAGTAGGGTGATCGAAGCTAAAACATTGGGTAGTTTCAAATTTAGGTTGGATAAATACACGAATGAGAGGGGTTGGATTTGAGTCGGACTTGCACCTGACCTTATTGCTTGGGTAGCATTTGTTCTGTAGTGGGTTGGATTTGTAAAGGACTGGCCTAGTATGGGCCAACAGGTTTATTACAGTGTTCCTCCTTTCTTATGTTCTAAAAGCTATGGCTTGGGTAGTTTCAAATTTAGGTTGGATAAATACACGAGTGAAAGGGGTTGGATTTGAGTTGGACTTGCACCTGAGTTTATTGCTTGGGTAGCATTAGTTCTGTTAGTGGGTTGGATTTGTGAAGGACCGGCCTAGTATGGGCCAGCAGGCCTGTTCCAGTGTTCCTACTTTCTTAAGTTCTTATTTAACATCACACTTACCAGTAGGGTGATCGAGGCTAGGACATTGGGTAGCTTTAAGAAGAGACTGAACAAATATATGAGTTGGAGGAGCTGAGTTTGATTTGCGTCATTGGGTACGGGAGTAAATTCTTGGGTAGCTTTGGGTAGAGGTCATTTTGATAAGGACCTGCCTTGTATGGGCCAGTAGACCTGCAGTGTTCCTCCATTGTTATGTTCTTAGTGGGAAGGATTGTAAAGGACCTGCCTAGTATGGGCCAGCAGGCCTACTGCAGTGTTCCTCCTTTCTTATGTTCTTATTGGCGATTTGTTTGTGTGAGGGAGGGATGGCAAGTTTATTGTTGGAGAATATGACACTAATATCAACTCTATGGCTTATTTATCTATCACAATTCAACTAATATGACATAATAAACAATATTAATAACATAGAAACATGGAATATACTCTGGAACGAATAAAATAAGTCATTACGTACGTCACGAGAGGTGTTGTGTTGTGTTGTTGTTGGGTATATAAGGGCCACTGAGAGTAAGCCGTCCATAATGGTGGTGAAGCAGTAGCTGAGGCGGTGGTGTTTTCTTTAGACCTATATAACTCCAACAACATTGGAGGATTGGTAGGTAAGACACATAGGCAACAGTTAGGCAACTTTATTCCGAAACATTTCGCCTACACAGTAGGCTTCTTCAGTCGAATACAGAAAGTAGGCAGGAACAGTAGAGATGTGAAGACGATGTAATCAGTCCATCACCCTTGAAGTCGTTGAATTTTGATGTTCAACACTGGAGTTGGTAGAATCGCTGAATCACTAAAGAAGGAACCCTCTACCACCATCACTACGACCTTCTACCACTATTACAACTGTTATCACCATCACTACTACCTTCTACCACCATCAACCACTATCACAACTGCTTCCACTCTACCACCACCATCTTTGTATTTTTCTACAAACTTTTTGATAAATTATGTGTTTCTCATATTCTTTACCAAAGGGCTGGCACTAGAAGCTTTCTTTGGAGCCATGGTAGCTTATTTAGCACTTGCAAGCACTAAAATTAATAGAATATTATGAAATATTTCGTAGGAGCATGTGAAGGGACCGTCACTCACTGGTAAACAATGGCACACTGGCTGGGAAGGCAGGCCCAGGTGGCTCAGAGCGTGAGTACCCGTCCCGGACGAAGGACGATTAGCAAGTTAATGGACCATTTGCGAGCCAATGTTTAGACGAAATAATGGGACTATTTCCGAAATGGACGACTTTCAGGCCGGACGATTATTGAGGGACCACTGTATATATTATCATGTACCTCTCTCTCCTCCGCTCCAGTGAGTACATGTTCAAGACTTGCAGGCGTTCCCAGTAGTTTAGGTGCTTTACTGGCTCAATGTGAGCCGTAAACGATCTCTGTATTTGTTCCAGCTCCGATATTTCTCCTGCCCTGAACGGGGCCATCAGCACTGAGCAATATTCTAGTTGAGGGAGCACTAGCAATTTGAAGAGTGTCACCATCGGCATTGTTTCCCTTGTTTTCAAAGTTCTCAATACCCACTCAGTCATCTTCCTGACTGTTGTGATCTTTGTCTTGTTATGGTCTTTAACCCTTTGACTGTCGCAGGCCCCTTTCTGAAACTCATTCTATGTCGCAAAATATTTGAAAAAAAAAAAAATTATTTTTTCTTATGAAAATGTTAGGACTATTTTTCTGAGTGTTTTAATCCTAAAAAAAAAATTGCCATCAGTACTTACCGAGATATAGAGCCGCAAAGTTTGCAGAAAGTGAGGTGCGTACGGCAACAGCGGCGACTGCCGCCCACCTGGTATTCTTTTATTTACTCTAATTCAAAAGTTTCTTGCATTTTCCAATATTTTTCTTTTCCAAGTAACTTATGTGGCCTGTGAGACCAATGTAAGGTGCGTTGTTCAAATATACACTCATTGTTTACAACACAATAACTGAACAAACTTTATCACTATTAGTTTGTGTATACACTTTGTTTACACAAACAAACAATACAAAACAATGTTTATTACTATTGTTCCATAATATATATACATATATACAGTCACTGAACATGTTCCTAGAACTGCTGCAGCTTGTGGAACTCTTTGAAACATGGGTATATGAAGAGTGGCACTTGACACTCCTCACACATAAAACAAGTGTCTCTGCATGTTTGTGGGCGTTTTGTGGTATGTGTACATACATAACACCTCTTCTGAGCATTTTTCTTGGCAGTAGTAGGAGGCAGTTGTATGGGGTAGTGATCACCAGGCCTGAAACGAGATGGCGTGTGTTGGTAATTTCATGGGCGCTGGTCTATTGCAGGTGTTGCTCCTTGGTACTTTGCAATTATTTGTCTGATTACTGACAAGCAAAATTCACCATATTTTGGTGTTTTGTTGGTCTTCAACTTGTATATGTTATAAGCATTTAGCATGGAGATATCAACAAGATGGAAAAAAAGTTTTATATACCACTTATAACTCTTGCGTACACAATCTGCAAACCCAATCTGAGGTTGTAGTCCATGACAGCTGCAGGCTTTAGAATGGGTTCATTGATCTCTCTGTTGTGCCTGCCACTGTGTGCCATTTCGTTTGGGTGAACTGATGTCAACAATGTGACATCACGTTTGTCATGCCACCGAAATGCCATGATGTCATTGGCAGCAAAGGCTTGCACCTCACCTCTGCGAGTGCCAGCGTTGAACCTTGGCGTATGTTTACGATTACTACGCACTGTGCCACACACGTCTGTCAAGTTCACTTGCAAGAAATCACTGAGTAAGGGGCTTGTGTACCAGTTATCAGTAAATAACATATGCCCCTTACCAAGATATGGTTCCATCATTGTTCTAACCACATCACCAGAGATACCCAATAACTTCATGGTATCTCTCAAAGTAATACTGCCAGTGTACACAATGATATCCAAAACTAGACCACTTCTGCAATCACACAGTACAAATAACTTTATACCAAAGCGTTTCCTCTTGCTTGGTATATATTGCTTGAATGAGAGTCTTCCTTTGAATAAAATCAAAGACTCGTCAATAACAAGCTTCCTGAAGGGATAAGAATACA